GCCCCTGAGGAGCCAGGCGTCCGGGGCCTCCTGGCGTCGCTCTTCGCCTTCAAGTCTTTCCGGGAGAACTGGCAGCGGGCTTGGGTGCGAGCACTGAACGAGCAGGCCTGCAGGGATGGGGTGAGTTGGACAGGAGGACCTAGGTGGTCCCCTCACTCAGCCTTTCCTTCCAGTGGAGGGATTGCTCAGGCCACGAGGGCCAGATGGGGGTGGGGATCAACTGGGGAACCTCATGGCCTCTCTTCCCCTCTGGGATCAGAGCACAGGGTGCAGGTGAGGCTGGAGGTTGTAGAAATCCTGCTATGTCCCACATCCTCTGTTCTTGTGGTCTAGGTACTCTCTGGCTCCAAACCATGCACAAGTTGCTGTTCTCATAGCAACGCTAATCCCTGTGCCTGAGGGCACTTCCACCTAGCCTGGGTGCTGAGCCTGTGTGTGGGTGGGGGGTGGGGGGCAGGGGTAGAAAGGAGACAGGTGCACCTATGCAAAGAATTTGCCTGGTTCTCATGCCACCACACCCAGTCAACACCTCATGCCCCAGATCCCTGGTGTGATCAGGCAGGTCCCCAAGGAGCCTGAATTCCTCCCTAACCCATCCCTCAGTAATTTCACCACTACAGTCTAATGCATCCTCTTCCATGCTACCTGCAGTGCATGCGTCGAGAGAAAGATGTTCCACTGGAGAGCAGATTGACAATCCATGACCCTCCTGGTAGATGAGCTCTAGAGCTGCCCCTTGAGGGTCAGTCACAAGCCAGCCCAGCCTACTTCCTCCCATTTCACCATGGGCAGCTGGCCTCCCAGGAAGTGGGGCAGGAAGCGTGGTCATAAGACTGAGGTGTGGTGGGAGGTAGAGGCCTCCCTCTCTTGGGGTCCCCTCCCATCCTGGCCCAGTAATCTCTCCTTGCCCTCACAGTCTATCCGCTCGTGGCTCAGAGGGCTCTCCATTCTCAGCCACTGCTAGTCTGAGGGTTTTACTCAAGTAGCACCCCAGATGCCTGGAAACAGAAATGGCCACACAAGAAATTGCTCTGCATCCTCTGCCCAGCTGGTCAGCAGAAAGCCAGATGGCATCTGTCAGTCTACACCCTGAACTCATCCCTCCACCCAACTCTCTCTGTACCTTGTCCCTGGGTCAGGAGCGACTCTCCAGGGCAGCTGACTCAGCTGGACATTAGCCTCCCTTGCAGGGGGTGGGGAGACTGGGGTTCTGAGCATCCATCTCCCTGGGCCTGGCCTTCAAAAAAGACAGCTACAGGAGCAGAGAAGTTGGCCTCCCCTGGTTTGCCAGGCAAATGAGCCCTGTGAATTTGTTTCCTCCCATCCCAAGACCCAAGGAGGGGATGCCAACTCAGTCTGTGCCCCCTCCTCAATCCTTCTTCCCCTCCTGCTCTCCGGATGGGGCTCCAGCAGGTTGCTTCCACTGCTGTGAAAGAATTAGGAAGCTCTTTCAAGACCTGAGCTAAGCAGCTTTCTGCTTCCTAATACCACCCTGCTGTCTGCCTTGAAGAATTAGCCAGGCCCTGTCCCTTGAGCCCTCTGAGCTTGCTTCTCTTCCTAGTCCCTCTGGTAAAGTTCCCCAAAGCCATGCTGAGCTAGTCTTCATCTCCAGGAATATGGATAGAGTCATACTCTTCTGCTTCTACATCCTATTTACCCGGAGCAAAGCTTAGCCTCATTCCTCCAGCTCTTGTCTTGAATAAGTGACCCTACTGCTTTTACCCTTAGCCCAGCCGTGTCTCTCTCTGCCCAGCTATGATATGTAGGTGCCACAACACCTTTATTATTTTATTTCTATGCACACCTTTCTCTGGGGGTAGGGATGGGGATGGAGAGGAAGGCAGAGGGAGAAGAGGGAGGCTCCTGGCATTCCAGGAGGAATCTAGGGTCTTCAGGGCAAGGTGATCCAGTCTCTGAGGTGCTCTAGCTCCTCAGGTCTCCCTAGCAGCTGCAGGCCCCTGGAGGGGCAGGGTTGGAGAGGAACACTTCCTGTCCTAAAGCCCTGAGCCAAGGAGGGGCCAGGAGCCAGCCTGCAGCTGAGGCCTCTGCAGTGCCAGCACCCAGCCAGCAACTGAATAGGCCAGCCCTGCTGGGGACAACTCCAGAGACCTCATCCTATGCCCGCATTACTCCCTCAGAGCTCCATCCAAATCGCCTTTGAGGAGGTGCCCCAACTCCCACCCAGAGCCAGCATCAATCATGTGACCTGCGTAGACCAATCAGAGCACACCATGGTAAGGGCTGCTGGGCACTGCCTTCTTTAGGGATGGAGGGGAGATGATTCCAAGTTCCCTTTAGTCTGAGGGTTCTTAACCTGAAGTCTCTGAATGCCTTGGGGACCCAGGATTGGCTTCAGGAGGTCTGAGAATCCCACTAAAGTTACATGCAAAACATAATACATGTGTGCATATCTGCATTTTTCTGGAGAGAGGAGTTTTTGGCTTTTATCATCTTTTTATGGGGTTGTGACCCCAAAAAGGTGATTTGCAAGGAAAATTGAAGTGGGGAGGGGTCTGTTGACCCACTGTAGGGCAGGGCAGGGCAGGGTAAGTTGAGTACCCTTCCTCTGTGCCTGACCCTCTTTGCCTCCATGCCTCGCCTGTCCCAGGTGCTGCATTGCCAGCTCTCTGCTGAGGAGATGATGTTCCCTGTCTCTGTGACCCAGCAGTCCCCCGCTGCTGTCTCCATGGAGACCTACCACGTCACTCTGACACTGCCACCAACACAGGTGGAGGGGGATATGGGAAACTGAGTTGGGCAGGGGGTGGTTCAGTTGCCTCAGCCTTTTTGGTTTAGTTCCTGTCTAAGATGGAATTTGGGAAGGGAAGGTCCTGGGTGGTTGGGAGTAGTTGGAGGAATCTGGCAAGTCAACCCAGTCCCTTTGTCCTTTGTCCCTTGTCCCCAGTTGGAAGTCAACCTGGAGGAAATCCCTGGTGAAGGCCTGCTTGTATCCTGGGTCTTCACTGATCGCCCGGATCTCAGCCTGAAGGTGCTTCCCAAGCTGCAGGCCAAGGAGGTAAGGGGGCAGGGCTGGGAGGGGAGAGACAGGACAGGGAGGAGGAGGAAGAGCTGGGGGCCCCACCTCCTTGTTCTCCCCACAGAGAGGTGAGGAGCAAGTAGAGCTCTCTACTATTGAGGACTTGATCGAGGATGCCATAGTCAGCACCCAGCCAGCTATGATGGTCAACCTCAGGGCTTGCCCTGCCCCTGGAGGCCTGGTGAGTAGGCACTCAAAGCAAATAGTTTGTATGCATACTGTCCCCAGGGGCCTGGGTCAGGATTCTTGTTCCTTTTACTCCCTCTGCTCTTAGGTACCTAGTGAGAAGCCACCCACAGTGCCCCAGACCCAGCCAGCCATCCCCAGACCCACCCGGTTATTCCTAAGGCAGCTTCGAGCATCTCATCTGGGAAGTGAGCTGGAAGGTGAGAGCCAGAAGCTTCTGGGCAATTGCCAAGGCTATGGTTGCTGGAACTTCTGGCTCCTCGGCCAAGGGTATGGCCTCTCTACTCAATGGCTTCTCATCTTGGATCTGAGCATCCTTTAATTTCTGGTTCCTCTCAGGCACTGGGGAAGTGTGCTGTGTAGCTGAGCTCGACAACCCCATGCAACAGAAGTGGACCAAGCCCATGAGGGCTGGTCCTGAGGTGGAATGGAATGAGGACCTGACACTGTAAGGAGTGGCTCCCCAGCCCCCACCCCTGCTCTCACAGGCAGACTGAGGCTCAAACCCTTCCAGCATAGCCCTGGAAGAAATCAGCTGTGTTTTTCAGTAAACCTTGGTGTGAGCCTCTACTGTATGCCAGGCTCTGGCCTAGTCCAAGTGACCAAGATACAACCCCACCCCCCACCAATCCCTGAGTTGATCACAGGCTCAAAGCAGAGGCAGATGTATGGAAAGAAGATGGTATAAGTGCTTCAGTCTAGGTTCACACAAAGTGCTGTGGGAGCACTTAGGCGGGGAAGATTAATTCCCATAGGAATAAGGATCAGAGTAGGCTTCATGGAGGAGGTGGCATTTAAACCACACCTTAGAGCAAGAGTAGGATTTCAACAGAGTGTGAGAGAAAAGTGTTCATGGCAGAGGGAACAGCTTGAACAAAGGAAAAAGAGGGTCATTTGACATAGAGAGAGAGACTGGGAAGACAGGGTAGGGCAGGAGCAGGGAGGATCTGAATGTCCAGCTGGGGAGTATGGTCTCTATTCAGCCCTGTCCCATACTCTGGGGAAGAGAGAGTGTTTGGAGAGTGATTGGAGCACTGGTTCCATCTTATTTACAAACCTCTCTCTCTGCCTCTGGCCTGTGATCAACACAAGAGTGGATGCAGTTTGCTAATGTTCCCCCTCCTTGCCCCACCTCTTCTTGGCCACAGGGATTTGGGCCCCCAGAGCCGAGAGCTGACCCTCAAAGTGCTGAGGAGTAGCAGCTGTGGAGATCGTGAGTTTGGGGCAGGAAGGAACACCTCTGGGTGGGTGCTGAATGGGGACTGATCATGGGCCCTGCTCACAGTGCCATCTCTTACCCCAGCTGAACTCTTAGGCCAGGCCACACTGTCTGTGGGCTCCCCTTCCAGACCACTGTCCCGAAGACAGGTGTGCCTGCTCACCCCTGGGCCAGGGAAAGCCCTAGGGCTGGCAGCCACCATGGCAGCAGAGGTGAGAAGCGGGACCCCTGGGGGATATGGGAGGACACTGGGGGAAGGCCAGCCTTTGAGGCCCACCTCTCTGCTCTTCCACCCCTTGGCAGCTTCAGTATGAGGAGGGCTCGCCCCGGAACCTGGGCACTCCCACCTCCTCCACTCCACGCCCCAGCATCACCCCTACCAAGAAAATTGAGTTGGACCGGACCATCATGCCTGATGGCACCATTGTCACCACAGTTACCACCGTCCAGTCCCGGCCCCGGGTAGATGGCAAATTAGGTAAAGAGGAGGAGTCTGGGAGCCCAGCTCTAGCCAGGGGCCCCGGACTGCAGATCTGTGGCAGAACAGGGGAAAGGGCAAGGAAAGCCCTAATTCCAACTCCCCCTGTTTTCCAACCATGTCTTCCTCGTTGTCCTGTGTCACTCAAACTTTCCCTGACATCCCTCCATTTCCCCAGCTAGCCCTCTCCCCCTTCAATCCTGAGTCTCCCAGCCCCTTATACTATATTCTCACAGTTCCACTTCCCCAAGTTCCCATCTGTCTTTTCACAAGTCTCTCCCTTTCCCTTTCCCCAGCGCTCTTGACCCTCAACCTTCCAGTACCCTGTGGGATGCTCCAACAAACCCAGTGGTCTCCGTGGCATTTCCCCACTCCCAGAGACCTTCTGTAATATTTCTCCCAGCTAGGGGTCCCATGGAATTCCCTCTGCTGCTCCTGGGCCCCAGTCCCATCTCCGCAAACTCTCAGTAGATTCATGGCATCCCCCATGCCCTTAGTGGGCCCCGTGTTGCTTTCCCACACTCCCATTGGTTTCCGTGGTGTCTTTTTGTCCCCACAGTATCTTCTTAATCACCCCTGTGATTAACCATCCCTTAGTCACCCCTACCCTCTGAGTCAACCAAAGTCTGCATCTCAATGAAGACAGTGGGGGGCTGAGGGCCACTCTAAATCACCTCCCAGCTCACTGACCCTCCCCCACCCACCAGACTCCCCCTCCCGCTCCCCGTCCAAGGTGGAGGTGACTGAGAAGACGACAACCGTGCTGAGTGAGAGTGGTGGCCCCAGCAGTACCTCCCATAGCAGCAGCCGTGAGTAGGGAGTTGGGAAGTGTGAGTGTTGGTTGGCACTGGGGCCCCAGAGTCAAAAACCACTTTGGGTGGGGCACAGGAGTTCAAGTCGGAAGAGGAGCTGGGGAGGACTCAGGCTATCCATCTTCTGCATTCATCATCCAGCAGGGGAGAGCCACCTTTCCAACGGCCTGGACCCTGTAGCAGAGACAGCAATTCGCCAGCTGACTGAGCCCAGCGGGCGGGCAGCCAAGAAGACACCCACCAAGCGTAGCACACTCATCATCTCTGGGGTTTCCAAGGTAACAGGGCTCTGGGGAAAGGAGCGAGGCTAGGGAGAAAGCCCTAATGGGTCACTCCTGCCCATTAAAACATGTCCCTCCTGGCAGGTGCCCATTGCTCAGGACGAGTTGGCACTATCCCTGGGCTATGCGGCATCCCTGGAAGCCTCAATGCAGGATGAGGCAGGGACCAGCGGAGGTCCCTCTTCACCCCCCTCAGACCCACCAGCCATGTCCCCAGGACCGCTAGATGCCCTCTCCAGTCCCACGAGTGTCCAGGAAGCAGATGAGACAACACGTTCGGACATTTCTGAGAGACCGTCTGTGGATGACGTTGAGTCGGAAACAGGATCTACTGGTGCCCTGGAAACACGCAGCCTCAAGGATCACAAAGGTGGGGAGGTGTTAGCAACCCACCCTTTTATTATACCCAGTTTCATCACCTGGGTCCTACTGGACACTTAGGGACCTGGGAGCCTCGGGCCAATCTCATCCTTCCTCCCCTAAGGGATGGCCAGAGTTCCCAAGCTAGAGTAGAGAGAGGGGACTCGATACCTTGGGTCCTGGCCTGGATCCGACAAGCTTGGGTGCTGAGTAGAGATGTGAAAGTATTTCCCCTTACCTCCATTTTCCTTTCTTCCTGGATCTATGTGCATATCTTCCTTTCCTTGTTTTCTTCCCCTTTCCCTTTCATTCTGTAATCTTTCCCCCTGAGTATAAGAAATCCTACCCCAGGCTAATCCTAGGAGTGTCACAGTAAATGGCTAGCTGTGGCACTTATTCTAAATTCTAAGGTTGAAGACTTGCCCCCAAACATCTGCAAACCTCTACCAATGAGTCTATCACCCATGAATGTATTGAACTATTTATAATTTAAGCCTGCATCACTTCTTGGGATAATGAGAGTCCTTAGTACAAAGACTGCTGTGTAAGCAAGCACCTTTCTCGTTATATTGGTCCTGAATTTACCTGTTTGAAGTTTTCCAGTCACACTGCTTCCTATTCACATCCTGGAATTTGGTCAACAAGTCAGTACCAACCCACTTCGTCCCTTCATGATTTTATAGGCTTTTAGGAACACCCTCTGCTCAGCCTTTGTCTTTCTATAGTAAAGAGGCCCAATCATCAGTCTGTCCCCACAGAGCAGCCAGCCCCAGGACATTCCTCCTCAGGGCCAGCGGTCAGGAGTGCACACGGGGTCCCCTGAGCTCCACCACGTTTTCCTCAGGAAGGATACAGTGCATATTTGTTCTGTTCCGTATCTTGGATTCCTTCATGCTTGTCCTTTCTCTGCTCCCCACCTCCCCCTGCCCCAGGGGGCTCCTCTCTCTGCCTCAGCCGCCCCTCTTCCCCCACAGTGAGCTTCCTGCGCAGTGGCACAAAGCTCATCTTCCGCCGGAGGCCTCGTCAGAAGGAAGCTGGTCTGAGCCAATCACACGATGACCTCTCCAACACGACAGCCACACCTAGCGTCCGAAAGAAGGCTGGCAGCTTTTCTCGCCGTCTTATCAAGCGCTTTTCCTTCAAATCCAAACCCAAGGCCAATGGCAACCCTAGCCCGCAGCTCTGAGGGCTCTGCTCACCTCCTGAGCTAGGAGAGGGCAGGAGTCCTCTCAGCCCATTCCCCACACCCTCTTCCTTTCCCCTTCCTGGATTCCCAAAGGCCTGGGCCAGGGAAGCCCTCTGGGTTCCAGGCAGCCCTGTGCACCCTGGGCTGTGGGGCCAGTTGGAAGGGTATTTACAACGGGAAGCGTGGGAGAGGTGGACACAGAAGAGGGAGTGGGTGGCTGGGAGCAAGAGGAGGCTCTGTCCTGGCGTATGTGGGCCTTCCTCAGACCCGTCCGCCTGCTGTTGACACTGGCCCCTCGGAGGAGTGCCAGCGTGCTCGGCTCCTCTCTTATTTATTCTCTCTTCTATTTATACGTGTGGTCCAGGGCCCTCAGTGGACAGATGACAGCGGGCATTCCTCCCGAGTGACCCTTCTTTCCTGACCCAGGAGGGTAGGCAGTTCCCTCTGGGAGGAAGCTCCCACACCTCCCTCAGGTCCCCACTCCGACCAGCACCAGTATCTGCCTCTGAGGACACTGGCAGCTCACAGAAAGCCGGGCTGGTGCCCGGGCTGGGGGGCAGGTACTCCCCACCTCCCTGCCTCCCCTTCTGCTCCTCACCCCTCCCTCCCCCTTTATAACCGTTTTTTGTACTTGATGCCTTCTCCGTGAGCAGTGGCTCTGTTGGAAGGAGGGAGCCAGGAGCCTGGTGGGAAGCCTTCCCCAGAGAGATGGCTTTAGGGGCTTTATTTACAGACTGAGTGATGCTAGAGCAAGAGCAGGGCTGCCCCTCTGTATGCTGGGAGATGATGATGTCCATTGCTGTGTGATGGCTTGGAATTTAATTTATTAAATTAAAGTCAAATTGGAGTTTATAAACTGGACAACTGGTCATCCTTTGAAATGCTAGGCTAGGCTGTGATGGTAATGAAGGGGGAGGATCAGAGACAGGGGCCCAGATAGCGAGGTGGGGAGGTAAATGACATGTATCTTGGGTCTAAGAAGTTCTGCAGGGAGGAAGGGACATGTACAGAGAGGATGGCAGAAAGAGAGTCTTTGAAGGGTGAAATTGTAGCAAAAATATTAAACAGAAAAAAAAAAAAGTCCATGGGCTAGTACAGGCGTCTTCATTCCCCTCCCTTGAATAGGCTGCTCCTTCCAGGCTATAGGAGCATCCAGAGTGCAGACTCTGGATCTAGACAGAAGAGACAGATTAGGAGGGCGAAGTCTTGTAAGGGTTTCACCATAATAAGAAGTCTTTAATTCCTAAATGTGGGCAAGTTTCAGGGAGTTATGGATACTAGCAAACTCGGAGAGCCTGGTTCCTGTTCTCTGGGACTTCACACAGAACTTGAACCAGGCAAACTGCTGCAGGATGTCAGACAGACACTGGACCAGGAACAGAAAACCAAAGTGTACCACAGACACAGCAAGTGACCTTGAACAGTCCACTTCTCCTTTCTGGACCTCAACTTCCTCATCTCTAAAACGAAGAGTGCCCTAGATAATCATTCAGGTCACTTCCAGCCTTGCCATTCTGACTTACTACATCACGGGGGCTGCAGGGCACCTGCCTTTGGGTAGGCAGCATGTAATTGTTAATCTTCCCCATGCTCCTGTCCATACTAGTCAGAGAATATGGGATATTTATTAAGGATGGCAGAAGATGGATATTTGGTTAATTTGCATTTAGTGACATGCCAAATTCTATGTCATAAAACTCAAAGAGATTTATCAAGCTGCCTCCCCTGATCTAAGAAATTCAACTCTTAGTTCACAGAGGAGTGGTTTGTTTACCAACATGACAAGACAGCCAAACACACTGAATTTTTTTAAATTTTGAAGTTTTCTTTT